TATTTAGAAGGTGGGGCGGGGGGAAGGGTTGGGTGGGGGTGGCGCGGGGGGGAGGGGGGCGCCTGAGTTTTGTCCTGCCTAGGGCAGCACAAAACCAGGATACACCACTGCCCTCAACCCCTCTGTTCCTGTGTGTCCAACTTGTCTGGTTACAACTACATGTCTGTTCGCCCACCCACTGTAAATCGCTAAAGAATTTGTTGGCGCTATATAAATAATAACATAATAATAATAATAACATATGTATGTAGGATGTAGGAGACACTATATTGCCCAGGGAAACTTATTACGGTACAGTAGTGTACTTCTTTTCACTGTGTAGCGTGAAACATCTCAGATGTTTTTAGGCTCAAGTCACCCAGCTGACCACTTGCTAGAGCTTTCTCAATGCAGTATTTATTTATTGGACATCAGCATCTGGTGTCATTGCACAGAACGGTTGCCTTCTGCTTGTACGGATTGTATGCACCTAATTTTACGGATTGTATGGATCTAATTTTGTCTTACCCCATACGCATCCCCTGTAATTCCCCCAGGCCAGACAAGAATTTTGCACCACTGTTATGGTTTCATGGCTTAGGACCGGCCCCTCGAAGCCTGCGTGATGGGATTCACAAACTACTACAACGTTCATGATTTCCTTATGAGACCTGAATGTTTCCCCTCTACAGCCAGCATTAACATCTTGTGTGTGAAAATGTTAAATTTACCTAACAAAAATAGGATTATGCTATAGATTATAAATTATTATTTTACCGTTAACCCCTTAAGGATCAATGGCAGCATCAGTATGTCATAACAAAGCAACATTTAAAGATCCCATATCAAACACCACGTGTCATTTATTTATGAAAAATAAAAAAGGGTATGTATCTTAGAATAGGGTCCTCAGGGGTCAGATTGTGACCCTTACATTTTTTAAAGGGCTATGCAGGTGGGCCTTAGGGGTATAGGTTATATATTTACTTTCCTAGGGAAAAGTGACTGCTCCATATTTTTTGCTAAACATTAAGGGATTTATGCATTAAGCCAGGAATTGGGGACAATTGACAAGAGAATAGCATATTTTAGGCCTTGTTGATTCTGCACAATGCCCAATCTATGAAACCTATACTAGCAGCAGCACACTGCTCCGTGAGAGCCTCCCATTAGAAATACTACGTTGGAGGCTTGTAAAGGCCTCTGGCAGTGAAATGGTTATTTGTTATGTGGAATTCTGTGGCAAATTCCCGGTTCAGTCTGATGAGGTCACAAGTAACGGTTCCCATGGTGATGAAGAGCAGCTCTGATGCAGTGTGAAGCGAAGAGGCGGATATTGAGTAGGTGGAATTGAAAACCATTAAATTCACGTCTTACACCAGGGTGTTGCTACGTAGGCGTAAAGAAATCTCCTACACCAGTAAGGGTGAAAAAAACACCCTCAGAAAAATCATTGTGTATTATATGTGTCAAAAAAAATTTCTCTCTCTGGGTCAATTTCAGAAGGAAAAAATGGTATCTATGCAAAACCAGTCCCAGATAAATGTGAATATTCACTTATATACCTAAGTGTCCTTTTGTATTAAGAGTGAACATCATTAATACAGAGACATTATTTTGAAATCCCCCATCTCTTCTTCAGTCGCAACTGTTTCATCGGCCAGATGCCTCTTAGCAGCCTAAATTGGGTAACATTTTACTGTTCAAATAGGAATTAAGTAGTCCAGCATACTAAATCTGTATATGGAATACTTGTATATTCAGGTAAGTACAGTCAAAATAACAATGTTTTAACCGAGGGCTAGTAATTATCCAGGCTTGATATAGAGCAGACCTGGCCGAAACTTTGTTATTTTGTGAATACTTACATGAATAGATAAGTATTGTATATACAGATTGCTAGATCATTTGATTTCTGCTTTGCATACTTTCTGTATTGCAGGTCCAAGGTCTTCTGCATTGTACTACTTGAACATGCTCACCAACAGGCCCACATCAGAAATTTTGGAGCTAGACACAAATCATTAGCCACCCCCAACACACAAACATACACAGGCCAATAGACACACACAGATACACAGACAAATAGACACACGCACACACAGACAAATAGACACATGGATACACAGATACACAGACAAATAGACACACACAGATACACAGACAAATAGACACACGCACACACAGACGAATAGACACATGGACACACAGATACACAGACAAATAGACACACGCACACACAGATACACAGACAAATAGACACACGCACACACAGATACACAGACAAATAGACACATGTACACAGATACACACATCCATAGAAGAACATACATATTTGTTTTAGCCTCCTTTCTTTGCAGGAAGATGTGGTGCCGGTCTAGTTATTCTGGATGTACCAGTTTGACTACTTACCTTGCTTTCCCTTTAAGCATCCTCAGAGTTCCAGAAGTAATATGACATGACGCCTTACCAGTGATAAAGAGCTTAAGTGCTAAGAGAGACGCCAACTTTGTGTGGGTAGATTAAATATTATACAGTTATACAGCCTCAGCTAGACTACCTACTGTTAGAGTAGTTTGAGTAGCGGCATCCTCTTCTTAGATTGGCCCCATATAAAATAACCACCTACAAGTGATGACATTTTATAACTTACTGTTCAGTCAGGCAGCCAGACTGGTATGGCAGTATAGTATCAAACACAGAAGGGCATAAACTGCATCCTCTGCAATATTTTTTATTTTAGAACTATAGATATTTAAAATGAGCTTACATTATGTCCTTGCTGGGATTGGTCCTTTAACGTTGATATTCAACAAAACACCTAAAAATACAACACAGGGGTTTATTCAAAATTAGGAGTGAACTGAAAACTCAATTACAAAATTTAGGCTAAAATTGCCAAAATATAACGACAGCGAAATTGTTTATTGTTGTCAAACTCAGCTCTTTTTGCCTACATATTGCAAGTTGTTTTTGAATTTAGTGCCATTTGGTGAATTCTTTTCATGTAGGACAATGATTGACAATATCCTGGAACTCAGAGCCATGCTAGCTGACCTGGAAACAGATATAATTTGGATACATTTTGCAATTCCCAGATAAGTTCCTGGTTTAGTATATTACCCCGTAAATATACATCTCATTCCATGCTTGCGTGCTCTGCCATAACTCTCTCATTGTCTATTCAACATCTGCTTAATGTTCTCAGTCTAACATAAATTCAACCTGTTTAAAATGTAAATAGCTTTTATGACTGAACCCTGCAAAAGCAACTTGCTGACCTCGTAACCAGAGGCGATGAACCTCTGTGATGGAGTCCCCTCCAAAAGGAGTAATGGACAAAGGCAGGGCCAGACTGGGAATGCAAAACAGACCTGGAAAAAAATGTATGCCTGCCCTATAAGTCCTTGTGCCCAGGTAGTGTTTGTGTGTGTGTGTGTGTGTATATATATATATATATATATATATATATGTATACATACCATGGAACAATGACTTATAGGACTGGCATACATTATTTTTCCATAGATTTTATAAATAAATATCACTGACACACACACGCTCACTACAGACAAGCTCACTGACAAACACACACATACTCACTATAGACAAGCTCACTGATACACATACAGATGCTCACTACAAACAAGCTCATTGACAAACACATACAAGCTCACTACAGACAAGCTCACTGACATACACATGGTCACTACAGACTGTCAGGATTACAGAATGATCCAGCACGTAGAATTGTGAAACACAGAGGACTGATAGGTAACGTATACCGGACCGTAGAATGGCCGGACTAACGTACCAAAGAATAGTCAGGAATAGTCGAGGTCAAGGGAAACAGAAAGAGACACAACGATAAGGAAAAGCCAGGGGTCAGGGATGCCAGAAAACAGGGAAGTCAAAAACAAAGCCAAAGTCAAATAACCAGAATTACCAGAATCAATAACGCACTCTCGGACAACCACAAGGGAAACCACGACAGGGCACTGAGTAGGATGAGAACTGGGCCTAAATGGCCCTCCTCTAGATCTGATTTTGACCCCAAAAGCAGTTACCAGGTTTCCATTTGCATAATTGCTGCTCAGCATTAACCCTTCTGTGGATTTGGTTGCTGCTCATCACAACTTTGACTGTGTGGACAGTAAATGTCATTAACCACATTTTTATAAGCGGATGAATACGTGACACAAACAAGCTCATTGACACAGATGCTCACTACAGACAAGCTTACTGACACACACACATGCACACTGCAGACAAGTTAACCGAGACACACGCACTTGCTCACTACAGACAAGCTTCCTGACACACACGCGCTCACTACAGACAAGCTTACTGACACACACAAGCTCACTACAGACAAGCTTACTGACACACACAAGTTCACTACTGTCAAGCTCACTGACACACACAAACTCACTACATACAAGCTCACTGACACACAAGTTCACTACAGATAAACTTACTGACACACATATTTACTACAGACAAGATCACTGATGCATGCATGCTTACTATAGACAAGCTTACTGACTGTCAGGACAAACCAGCAGTCCAACACGGACAAAATAACAAACAGTAACAAAGTATTACTGGTACTTAGAATGGTCGGATTTAACGTATGAGAATAACCAATAACAGGGTGGAGCTTGCTACCGGGACAAGACGGATGCCATATCTGTCTGCTCCCGACACTCACGAACTTCAATGGCACATACCGTGCACAGCAGACACCACATACTATCCCACCCAGGGTGAAGCGCTGCACCGATTGATGCCGTTCCGGTATCCTACAGGGCGACCCTTGCCGAAACGCAAGGCTACGGCCTACCTCCAGCCGCCACGCTTTTCCCTGGAGTCACTACTAGGAGGCCCACTGGTGTACGGAGCGCCCGGGAATACCCGAAACACACCTCCTTCACCTCTAGCTCAGGAGTACACAATGGGCCGACGGTCCCAGAAGCCTGAAGGCAGGGACATCGGAGCTATGCTCCAAAAACCCCAACAAGGCAAAGCAAGCCAGACAGGGGACAACCCAGACACAGCCTCATCCCAGCAACCACAACAACCAGAGGAGGCTCAGAGACCAGAACCCAACCAGACACTTGAGGAATTAATACACCCTCCTCAGGTACTCACAGGAGGATCAGCACCAGCCACGAAAGACGACCTCAAGGCCTTACTAACAGACCTGCACAGAATGATGGCAGCAGACAGGGCCCTGGCACAAAAAAAGATCCAGGCAGTAGCCACCAAGGTACAGGCCACAGAAGGTACTATATGGTGCAAGCAGCGGTCACTACGCTCAGCGCCACGGTCCTCCAGCTCCAAGGTAATCAGCACTCTATGTTCATGCAAATGACTGCACTAGAGGATCGCCACCGCCACACCCACGTTAAAATCTGCGGAATATCACCGGGGATCACCAAGAAGATGACTCTAGATGGGGTCTACCGAATTGCCAGAAGCCCACAAAGTACAGCGGTACTTTGTGGGCTTCTGGCAATTCGGTAGACCCCATCTACACCACGGGATGTTATTGTGAAATGCACCTCATACGCAGACTGAAACCGCATTATGTCAGTTTTGCGGAGCAAAACGCCGGTGCAATTCGAAAACTCCCCACTCACGTTTTACCAAGATCTCTCTAAAGCTACACTGCAGTGGCGCAGGTCTATGGCACCCCTTACAACCCAACTACGTACAGCCGGAATACTCTTTCTATGGGGACCCCTGGGCACCCTACAAATAACAAAGAAAGGGACAAATTACGTAATACGATCGCAGGAAGAAATTCTGGCAGTGTTGACAACTATGGGCCTCACATCGCGAACGCCAGCACAACCAGCCACAACAGGCACGACAACTGGGGCCCCGGCTATGGTCGAACCATTTACCCCAAGAGAGGGCACCTGGAACTCTCACGTGACCTGAACCGCAAAAGCTGACAGAGGCTTTACCGTTACCTGAGACTGTTTCCTCAACAAGTTTGTTCTATGATTTAATGATTCAATATGTGTTTTATTTTCCTCTTCGCTATGTTTTCACTAATGTCTCTCCTCCTACCTTTTAACACTGTGCACAAAATGCCCATTGATACAGTGGCGCCCTCACAGGTCAGCCCAACAAACGACAGCTCCCCTGGGGGATGGAACCCTAGCACATGCACACCCACACACTTATAACAGCAAACCAGAGCGACAGTACGCCACAAGCTAACTCAACCACCACCCCCCCCGCAACCCCCTTGGTTAAGGGCACTTACTACCTGTACATACAATTTGTAGCTTGCACACAACCTAGGTCCCAGCGCATGCTTAGACACCTATGTTAGATTGGCATAAAACCCACAATAACTGGTGCCACAAAGAACCCGGTATGACCGAAAAGAACCATCCTGACACACTCGGGCCACACAGGCCTCCCAACCTCCTGCCACACCAAGCACTGTAATTTAAGCCTCATGTTACGTATTACCACCCTCATGCGTATGCTCACACGAACACAACACCGACCTGATACTGTCTGTTATGATGCCAAAGGATCAGGGATACCATAAATACAGAAAGTCAAGCCAAGCCAATCAATAACCAAATAACAGTAACAGGAACGCGCTCTTGGATAACCAACAGGATGGAAACCACGACAGTTGCTCACTGAACAACTGCAGGTTTGGGATTAAATAACTCAGTAAACCCTGCTATTTGCTAATTTAGGTCCCATGAACCCAGAATGCACGTGCATGGTGAAACCGCGACACCACAAACATGTTCATGTCACTAGTGACATCATTGTGGGCAACGCTATCATACAGTGCCGGATTGCAGTGGCTGGCGTCCTCCCTAATGCTGGACCCTGCCGCTGTCAAAGAAGCTTCGCGGAGGGAGAGGTGCTGGAGGCAAGGTAAGTAACCTCTCCCACCTTTCGTGTGACCGCATCGATCAGATGCGGTCACATCGCGGTGCCGATTGGGCACCGTGACAGCGTGACCGCAGTGATCAGATGCAGTCATAACGAGGTGTCAATTGTGCACCGTGACACTGACACACACAAGCCCACCGGGAAATTTACAGGTCTCCTGGGGCAGCCTGTTTTTTACATATTCCCAGTTTTAAAAGAAAATTGCATAATTAAATTCAAACATGTTTTCATTAGGTGTACATCTGCTAAATGATTACAAAACAACACATTTCAGGGTTCCTTTAATTGACTCTTGATGATTTTTTTCTGTCACTTATTTTAATTCTTCTAGCACTACAAGCTGTTATGCACCTGTTTCAGTTTGGCTTTGAACTAACAGAGTTTGCAAATGCCTCTTGCACAGTTTAGATACCTCTTAAACCCGTTTGCTTAGATTTCCTCACAAGTCTAACCTACATCACACAGAATTATTATTTTACATCGATTTATAGGTGACCAGTCAACTCTTTTAAATTTGTCTTTTTGTCATCTAAGTTACGCTGCCTGCTAAATTATCAGGAGGGAAAAAAAAATCTGTGACCAGCAAACCAGTAAACAACAAAAACTAGTGGCCAACATGATGACACACACAACTGAATAGGCCTCGTATTATTATTTCTGATACATGAAAGTGAGAGCTGACTCATATTAACACCTTACTAGTACAATGATGTGTCATAATAACACCTGCTTTGCTTTCAGAACATCTACTCTCATTGGTCAGTTTAGAATTAAGGAGATCCACTTCATGTTACTTAAAGCAGCTGTGTTTTCTTTGTCTGATTATTTAACTATACATTTTGAATAAAGTTAATTCAACACGTTGATATTTGGCGGTGGTGTGTCATTTAAAGCCCATTACCATTGAGACTGGCCCTTTTAGATCCGCAATTCAATCATGGTGCCAGGAGGAAGTGGATCAAGGTCACTTCCTAACAGCTTTAAGAGTGCCGTGAGTAAGGGAGATAAAAAAGGAGGCAGACAGAGAAGAGAGAGAGTCACAGACACACAACCCCAGATGCTTGGGTTCTCCATACTGTCATGGGTTATTCTACAGATTTTGTTCAACACCCCATTCAGTGGTCCCTCTCAAACCACATTGTGTTCTCTGCACACGACCGGGCTTTGACTAATTTTTGCTATAAAGATTATCGCTCACTTTACAGTAGTACTATGAATACTAGGTCTCTGAATGTTTCCTCCATGTTTAATTCTTGTTTTTAATCTTTTTCTATAAACATTGTGTGCTTCTACCACTGCACTTTACTACAGCACTGATCGTTCTTACACGTTATTGCTCTATCCTGTATACACTTCATTGCTTATACGTTGCCTAGCAACGGTTTGTTGGTGCGCTCGCGTCATCACGCCTTTACGTCGCCAGGGGGTCACGTGTCCCGCTACTACACTTCCGGGTTTGGTTACACCTCGAGGTTTCATTGTGATTGGTAAGTCACTTTATTCCTTTGTATATATAATCTGTAATTTGTCACTTCACTCTTTGATCTTGAAAAAGACCCAGGTTGGGGTCGAAATGTTGATCGGGACAAGTTTGTCACTTTTGCTTATATGCAATAAATAACATTTTTTTTTTTTTTTTTTAAACCTTGAGTGCACCTACTTCTTCGAGACATATATATATATATATACATATAAAAATACAGTTCATGATCATATTTTACCACGTGTTTCTCTGTTTCTTACAGCCTCATGATTGGTATCCTACATCAATACAAGTTGGTTCATGAAAAGTTGGAGCATTGTTTAACAGTTCCTTCAAGTTCTACGATTCAATTAATCAAAAGTACAGTTTTTCTTCATGGTGGATTCGGCCTATGGTTCTGTCTTGCTGGGATGTTCATCGGCATCGTCAAGAAAGAGGAGTGGCTTAAGATCACATGGGACATTATGATGCAAGGAGCATTATCATTGGATAATATGTTTAGAATGTAGTTAACCCTTTGGGGTACATGTTATTTAGTTTTCTTTGAATATTTCAATATCCTTTCTTTGCTGCTGAGGAATAAAGAAAGAGATAAAGCATAATATTCACCTCAGTGTCCTTAATAAAATCATGACTTTACCTCAGGGGTAGTCAACCTTTTTCTATCTACTGCCCACTAATACATCTTTCTTGATGGAAAAATTTGTTACCGCCCACCCTGCTCACAGACAAACACGCACACACACTCACACATACACTTACAGACACATGCACTCACAGACAGACACACACACACACTCCCAAACACTCACACATACACTAACAGACAGACACACATACACTTACAGACACACACACACACATACACACACACACACATATACTTACAGACACATACACTGACAGACACACACATACAGACACACACACATATACTTACAGAAACACACACATATACTTACAGACACATATTCACTTACAGACACACACATATACTTATAGACACACACATACACTTACAGACACACACATATACACACAAATTATTAATATTAAATGTCCACCCAGCCTCCCTACCTGGAGAGCTGGTGTGGATCTGTCCCTGGGATCCAGTGGGGCTTCACTTTGCTCTAACCTCTCTGCTCTGCTCCCTCGCGGGCTGTCTACTGATGCCGGGAGCCAGAATATAATGTCATATTCCGGCTCCCGCGGCATCTGCAAACATTGCGCGAGGGAGCAGAGCAGAGAGGTTAGAGTTCCCTCAACGCCTCGGATTAGAACTCTGCCACGCCAGGGGGTCCAGAAGGTGGCCTGGCAGGAGGGAGCTCTTCCCTCCTGCCGGTCACTGAAAACTTGCGCCTGCCTGCCCTAAAGGAGAAATCCTCTCAAAAAGAGGATTTAGCCACCGAAATCCCTACCGCCCACCTGGAATCCTGAAACACCCACCAGTGGGCAGTAGGGACCAGGTGGACGACCCATGCTTTACATCATGAAATTAGTAAACTCTGGTAATTTAAGTCAGTTATGTTCTGAAATTTCAGAAATTAGTGGATTAAAAGGATCTTTTCTCCCCCTGATGAGCCTGTGTGTTTGGTGAAACGCGCGTCGGGGCTTTAGACACCGATCCGATTAGGCGTGATCTGACGATATCTGGTGTGCTACCTTACCCTTAGCCACCTCCGGTACACCTAGGACTTTTGGACCTATTAGACTGCAGCTGGATCATCAGACTACAGTCCATTAAGATTAAGATCTAGATTCTCTACAGATCTAGCCTAGCCTAGTACTATTAGCACTACCGACAGGTGCCCTTGAAGGCACAGATTAGGGCACTTTCTGCTCCGTTTATAGATAGTTATGAGACAGTTATTTTAGACCCTCTTATTAGATATAGGTGCCCTCGAAGGCACAGCTTAGGGGTCTACATTTACTATTTTTATACCTGTCAACCAAAGGAC